GAGGGGCGGGGCGCGGCGGGGGCGGGGCCCTTTGCTTTTTAAAGACACAGACTTTTATTATACTCCGCCGCCTCCTTTTCCATTCTGTAGGAGGATTAAAAAACAGGGGGGGCGGCGGGGCGCGAGTCTATAGTCCATGTAGTTGAAGCCCCTCCCTTAAAATGAGTACAGTTTATTCCTACTAAAGGGAAGAAAGGAAGCTTATGTAGACACAGAAATGGGAGGGCGCACCTACACCGAATGACACGTGTGAATTAGAAAGGGAGGCTCAGACCGACTCTTTTTTTAAGAGTGAGTTCTTTTTCGCAGTGGGTAAATGATGCAGTGTCTGTCATCACTGAAGCTCGACGTTAGTAAACCGGGACTGAATGCACTGACGGGAAGCCGCTGGAGTAGAAAACTGCGGGAATCATAGCGAATGTTGAGGAAGCAGGGCGGAGCGGCGGGAGCGCGACCTCTGCAGGCAGACGCCTGCGTCTCACTCCCGGGCGCTTACACACTGTGACTTGGGGCGATACCGTCAGTTTCCCACCTGCGCGAGTGGGCTTCGAACGCCGACCCGGTAGGGTGGCTGTGAGACTGGTGAGAAGGTGTGTGAAGTGCTGGGCACGCCATCGTGAAGGCTGCTGCCTTACTCTCACCCTCACAATTTTCTGGCGCGAAAAGATAGAGGCTTCACTTATCTTCACCTTATTTACTCTTTGGGAAGGGTTCAAGTTTGAGGAGTGGGAGTTTCTTGATGTGGGGCCAAGGCAAAACAAATCTACCGAGTTACCACCTTGTGCCAGTCAGGCATTGTGAATGAGGCCCATCCAGCCTCTGCCCTCGAGTAGCATACCTCCCTCTAGCAGATAAAACAGACACCGATTAATAATTTATTATAATTCAATGAGTTCTATAATAGAAACATATTGGAAGAAGTGTTTACTTTGGCTAAATGAGTCCAGGATGGCTTCCTGAGGAAGTGATGTTACCTCGGGTCTTGAAGGTTCTGTAAAAGTTCCTGGTGGGCAGGTAGGTAAGGAGAGCCTTTAGAGCCATTCTAAACAGAAGGATTAGTTCCAGCAAAGGTTCCTTTAAGCGGCCTTCCAGAACCTTTACGATCGAATGCCTGCCAGCTTCTCCAATCTCATTTTACTCGACATTCTGTCTCCAATCTAACATCAACTGCAGAGGAGAACTTTCTTGAATTATTTCTTTGGTGATTACTTCCCTTTTTTCGTTCTCTCATTCTGGACTGCTCTTTATGCAGATGTTGGGTTACCTAGACTGGTCCTCTTATTTATTATTTTTTTTATCTTCGATTTTATCATCACTCTCTCTTTTCGCTCCATCTACTTCAATTTACAGTAAGGGTATTGTGACATATATGTTCATAATCCTAGCTTTCTCTCTGCTTCTAACCTCTACCTCCCACCCTCCCTCCAGATCATCAGTGTTACGGTTGAATATATTGTGGTATTATTTTTCTGTGGCTGCTGCAGCAAATTACCACAAACTTGGTAGCTTAAAACAACACAGGCCTGCAGGCCAGAAGTTTATTACCGCACAAAGGGCATGATCTACTCACCGAGAGACAAAAGCCAATCATCAAGAGGCAAGACGGTGGCAGAGAAAGGGCAGTTTATTACAGCTTGCTAGCAAGGGGGAAGATGGCCGACTAACGTCTCAAAGAACCATCTTACAGAACAAAGACTACAGGCCAGTTATATACGGGGCTGGTCTCCGGGTCGGGGAGGCAGCTGGTCTCTGGGTGGGGGCACCCTTCTGACCTCCAGGTGGGGGCAGACATCCGGTCTTAGTTCCTGACAGTCTTTGGTTTTACTGGATATGCAGCAGAGACCAGAGCAATGCCCTCTATCCTGGTCTTCCAGTTGTCCTCGATGACAGCTGTCAGCACAGACTCTCTGCCCGGGGCGGGGGGTCATCACCTTCCTGAAGAACTCAAGAGAACAAAGTTATCAACTTATAGCAGCTGGGAGGGGCCATAAAATCCACATAGCATGTCTGGGCTAGTTAATCAGAGGTCATTCAAAGTTACAATAGGGTTTCTTTTCTACAGTATGGCTTCCCTTATGTCAACCTTGTCTTGAGCGGTATCAAGTTCAGCATCAATTTCCCTGAGCCAAAATCCAAAATGATCTTGTCATCTCAAGATCTTGATCACATGGACACAGAGTCTTTTTTTCAAATAAGGTAACATTTACAAGTTCCAGGGATTAGGATGTGGACATATCTTTGGGAACCATTATCAGCCTCACACAGTTATCTATGCATATTTCTGTATGCTCATCCAGACATATATACACATATGGAACAATTTGTCTTGACAAACTTAAGGGGCGTAATACGGTCTCTGTTCAAACGCCACCTCCTCAGAGAAGTTCGTTCTTATCCCATAAGCCTCTGTCCCTTCATCCCTCTTTATTTTTCTTCCTAGCATTTGTATCAATCAGGGTTCCCTGTTGCTATTAAAAGAGACAACTTTTGCTAATTTAAGCAGAAAATGAATTTATCATAGATCATTAGGTGGCTCATAGAATCATCAGGAGGACCATACACACTGCTTAGAGGCTACGTGCCTAACGTCAGTCACAGCACAGAAGTGGTCCAGTCCATATCCCACATCTGCAGCATGTGCTGCCAACACCACTGGAGGCAGGCACAAGACACGTAGTGAGAGCCTCGTCCCTGCTCCCCCGAAATGTTGCCACCCTCGCCAGAGGGATGTTAGGTGGTGCCAGCTTCTTCCCCTCACTTGCTTCCATCACATGTCAAGAGCTGGTGTGTTTGAAGTCAGGTAGTGAAAATTCTCCAACTTTGTTCTTTTTCAAGAGCAGGCTGAATATTCTGGGTCCTTTGAATTTCCATAGAAATGTTAGAATCAACTCTCATTTTCTCCAAAAAACTTGGTGGGATTTCTATTGGGATTTTGTGACTCTATAGATCAATTTAGGGAGAGCTGACGTCCAACAGACATTGAGTCTTTTAATCCATGAACATAGTACATCTCTCCATTTATGTAGATCTTCTCAATTTCTTTCAGAAATGTTTTGCAGCTTTCATTGTAGAGGTATTACATGCCTTATGTCAAATTTATTCCTAAATATCTTAGTTTTAGAAATTATTAAAGTGGGATTTTTTACATTTAAATTTCCAATCACCTGCTGATTATATATAAAAGTAAATTAATTTTTATATTAATCTTATATCTTGCAACTTTGCTAATTCTCTCATTAGTTCTAATAGTCGTTTTATAGATTCTTTTAGATTTTCTACATAAACAATCATGTCATCTATGAACAAGTTTTACTTCTTCCTTTCTGAAATTTATGCTTTTATTTTTCACTTACTTTATTGCACTTTATTGCAGTAAAAAGTTGAGCAGAAGTGGTGAGAATGGAGATCCTCCAGTGTCTTCAGGTAGTTGTTCTAAAAATTTTTAGACTTACATTTGTTATCTTCAAGATGGTTAGTCTTGCAGAACCTCCAGTAATTAATACTTGTATTTTATTAGTTAATAATCTGTGATGAATTGGGCGAAAAATCCTCAGATAGTCAGACAGTCAGATAGTTTGAGAAGTACTGCCTTAAGAGATTTTTCATGAGTTCCCGTGACCAAGATTCCTGGAACCATCCTTTTCCTACCATTCCCCAAATCTGATTGCACAGCAAACTCTTTTATTCTCTGAGCCATCCAACAGTTTTCCA